GGCGGGGGCAGAGGGAGGGGGGGGGGGGGGGGGACCGGAGAGTCGATATCAGCGGGAGTCAGCAAGAGAAGCAAGCTTGAAGAGGGGCAGAGAGGGACGAAGAGGGGGGAAGGAGCACGCACATGGAAGGCGCTGTCTTCGCCGGCAAGGAAGTAATGCGAGAAGAGAGCCACACCATGCTGCAAGATGAGCAACTCCTCCTCGATGCCGTAACCACGAATCTCATGGAACTCAGCCAGCGCGGTGAAGTAGTCCGGGCTGATGATTCCCAGGGACTGGAGCGAGGTGTCCACCAGCCGGGCACGATCGTCAGTCAGGTAGGTGTCCCGCTTGGGGGGCGGAACCGGCAGGTTCATCTCCCAGAAGCGGAGATGGCGCGCGCGCGGATCCGCCGCCAGAAGGTGCTGCAGGAAGGTCGACCCGGTCCGAGGGAGGCCGAGAATCATGAGCGGGGCACGGATGCGGATCTGAAGTCATCCCCCGGGCGTAGGGCAGCAGATGCCAGGTGAGTGGATGCACGCGCAGGAGATGGTCGGGGGGCGGAGACAGCGAGACAGCGAGACAGCGAGACAGCGAGAGGAGGGGGGAGGATCGGAGGGGGGGGGCGTGACGCACGTTCTGGATCTCCGGGTGCTGGTTGATGTAACGATGGACAACATAGCGCGTGTCGAAGTTGCCGGACAGCCAGTTGGACACCAGCAGGCGGCCGGTAGCCGTCAAACGATGGGCCGTTTGGCGGGCCGGGTCCACCGGCGGGAAGCCAGGGGCATCGATGCCGCACGGGTTCTCCGGGTCCACCGGGTCCAGCATGCCGCGCAGGAAGAGGAGCGCCGCGTCGGCGCTGTGGTCTCCATCGATGGCACCCTCGCGCACGGCGCGCTCCGCACGCAGGTGCGTCAACCTGGGGGGGGGGGTGGGGGGGGGGGGAGAGGGGGGGTCGGCGCCCGGGAGGAGCACCAGCGGAGGCAGGGAGAAGGAAAAGGCAGGGCGTGGGGGGGGAGTGTCAGAGACAAACGGCCACAGACGCCAGAACACCCCGTGAAGGGACCGATGGCAGGGGAGCCTCACACGCACTTAATGGGCAGCGGCAGTAGGGGGGATTGCATGCGCTTGGGCTTGGCGAGAGACGCCGGAAGGTAGCGTGCCAGGAATGCATCGATCTTGTTGATGACATGGAAAAGGTAGGCAATCTTGGGCCCTTCGATGGTCTTTGGCCGGACAGGCTTGCGGCTGGGAGAAGACCGGAGAAGGGTCAGGGGGGAGGGGGAGCGGGCCTTTTTTGTCAGCGCCCACGGGAGGCGAGAGAGAGAGAGAGAGAGAGAGAGAGAGAGAGAGAGACCTGGACGCGGGGAAGGCGAGGGGCCGGGGGCGGGGGGCCGGAACCAAGGAGGAGGCAAATGCTGGACGGCCGGATGAGAGGGGCCACGACGTACGGGATGTAGTCCAGAACGCGGTTGAGCAGAAGCACCAGCGGGGTGACGGCCCGCACGAACACCGACATGGCGTACGGGTTGACCAGGTCCAGATCGCTGCCGTCCTGGACCTGCTCGTTGCCGAGCACCGCGCGGAAAACCCGGGTGTTGGTCACCCGACGAGTCAGGCGCCGCAGGGCGCCGGAGGGAACTCGAATCGGCGAGTAGGGAACACTGCGCGTGAAGAGCTTGTACAGCACCAACACGGCCACAAGACCGAGAACAATGTGCTGGTGTCATGCGGCCACGGTGGTGATCGCGAGGGGGGGGGGGAGGGAACGGCAAGAAAGACGAGGCAGCGGCGGCGGCGGCGGCGGCGGCGGCGGCGGCGGCGGCCAAGGGACGGGGGCACCGAGTCAGCGGGCGACAAAAGGACAGAGGGTGGACAGTGCCAGGACAAGGCCACATGGCACGTACCCGGCTGAAGCACCACCACAGGAAGACCGGCACGCCGTAGCTGACGCAGAGGCGGAAAAAGGCGGCGTCGACATCGCTGTCATGGAGGCTGGCGAAGACGTATGCCAGGAGCGGGAGCTGCGTCAGGAAGGGAGGCATGCCACCGACCGTGGTCAGCCAGGCCCAGAAGAGTGTTTGCAGCCGGGTCGGCGTGGCGGATCCCAGCAGGGCGGCCACCTCGCCGGTCGGGGCGAGCACCCCGCCGGCGGCCGCCTGGCTGCCGAGGCAGCTGGCCACACGGCTGGGATCCAGAGACAGGACACCGCTGATGCCCCGGGAGCAGGCTGATGTGCAGAGCTGCAAACAGTCGGCCGCCAACTCGGCGGCCACTTCGGCGGTACTACTCATGGGGTCGAGGGTGG